AAGGAATGAAAAGAAGCATACATAGAATCCGTGCAAAAATCCATCCGGGATCCAAAAATTTGTGCGTGTCTTACTATCGAGAATGATGCCGTGCCATTTGCCGAATGTTGCCGAATTGGGCCTTGCATCAACAGCCACATCAAATATTTCACCACTTATCACTGATACCAATTTCCCCATGCCTGGCTGCATGTGCAGTCCACGCAAAACGCCACATTTTGAATAAGAATGATTGTCCTGGGAAACGTTCAGCCATCACAGCAACAACTTGATTTAGGCTATCCTAGCACCTCTCACAACAGCCAGACAAAAATGCATGCCAGGCTTTTTGGTGCTGGCCGTATGCCTGCAGTTGATACTCACCGCCTATCCGCCTCTTATGACAAAAATATACGTCTTTCAAAAGAGAGGAAGGAGGTACTAACTCCCCAAGCCTCTTGCGAGTCTAATGATCTAAATAATCGTTTTCAGACCCAATTAAGAAACGGATGAAGCAATACCTGTTTGAATTTCTCAGTGAATCCGTGAGCCGTCAATTCTTGTTCATTGTATGATTCCACAAAATAACCACGATTATCCGGAAATATCTTTGGGCGAATAATTTTAAGGCCTGGTATTCGATCAACTTCTTCGACTTCTAGCTTCTTTCTTGCAATCGCTCCATTGGAATTCATTGCTATAAAGAACATGAGTTACCGCAAATAGTGCTTTGATTAAGTGCAATTTAGATCCGCTTACCTTGCTGTGGAGCTGGTAACTTCACTATGGTCAATGCTGTATCATCTGATGGTTAACTCAACCTTCTTGCGATCTTGACGTTCGTTTCGCCTCCGACAAGAAATATTACTGCCTCAACGGTTTTCTTAACAGAAGCACTTGACAGAAAAACACATACACATATGATCGACATTAAATAAGTTTTAAAAATCAGCCAGGAATTTCATAAGTCAACGTAAAACTCGTGTCAAGCGATCGAAAAAAATGAAAACTCTCATTTTTGCCTATATCTCAAAACTAACAGGAACGAAGCCTTTCTTACGTGAAAAAAGCTTGACGTATGATTTTGGCAGACTTAACGGTAATGACGATGTAGTCTTAGAGTGAGCTAGTGAGTGGGCAACGTAGACGAAAAATTTCGTTTAACGTCAATACACCTGACTCGCCGACTTCCATCGTCCCTCAATTTCCAAGGGAAAAGTCGTTTTTCTTCCTCATTCAGATATGTTAAATACTTATAACGTCAACGAACAGGCATACCGCAGAAAAGACAAATGTCGCTGAGTGTTTTTTTGCTCTTCAAGGAGGTCAAAGAGACAATAAGAAAAACCGAATCAGAGCTGCAAAATTTAGAAGCCAATTAAAATTTATCCAAAGAAACACTAATCCGTCGAAGAATATTAGAAAGCAATTAGTCAAAATCTTTGTCCTTGCTTTCCATGAGATGCGGAGGCACTGGGGAAGTAGCCTGAGTGATAAAAAGTAACCACTAGTAAGTAAGAGTGTTGATGGCTCTTTGTGAGAGCCGCCCTGTAGTAAGCTGGCTGCAGCTTTGATTCCTAACATTCCAATGACTGAACGAAAACCAAAACTGGGTCGAAGAAGCAAAAGTCGTTTGGCCTTACAAATGTTCGTTAAGGACTAGAATTTGACCATAAAAAGAGCATTAACAAGTGCCAAAAAACAAAATGAATTTTTTGAACTGAGACGTATGTGGACAGTTCAGGAGACAGAATAAATGGACGCATCATATTGCCGACAAAAGGATACACGTCATACTACCCATGCGCAATAAGTGCGATTAATGCACTTCGATTAGTCAGCACAGTGCGAATCAAAATAGAACGCGGCAGCTGCTCACCTGTCCTCTCTCACTGCTCAAATGACCTTTTGCCCCAATTGAAAGACAAACCTAACATCATCCACACAGACCAGACCCGGTCTTTGCTTGTGATTGATAACGGGTGGCGTCTAAATGGTGAAGCAAGTTGAGCACAACTGCCTTGTACCCTCACCTCTGGGGGTCAAACATCAGGACTAAACGACTCCCGACTCACTCTGTAGTACGGAGGAAAGAGTGAGTTTTTTG